CACATATACACATTATTTAATACATACACTTTTTTTCAAATAAAATATGACCTGGAATTAAATAAATGTAAATAAATGTATAATGTTGTTATTAGTTTGCGTGGGTAAGATGATTTTTTAATCTTTGTTCCCCCAACTTTCTAATACCTTGCTCTCTGACAGGAAGTCATTAGGAGAGTGAACAGCTCTTTTTGGCTTGCAGAATTGACTTAAGCTGTGTTTTTCCTTCTCTTCAACAAAAGTGGTTCAAGTTCCAGGGAACAGTGCATTGGATTTAATACTTTATGATGAAACCCCAAATAATCCTGATTGTTTTGCTGCCTCCAACAACAATTAGGAGAATGGGGGGAAAGTTATACAAAAGAAGTTGTATCAGGTTTAATTAAAAAATAATTTCCAGGATGTGGCCAGTAGTTACTCTTCTCAGTTAATCTCTGACATCTTATGCATTATACAGTGGTCACTGATGGCCATAGGGACCCTCAATACTTCCCTGTTCTTCAAAGAAGGATTGAAACATGTTAGGATACTATATCTTCCCAGGGAGAAAGGTATAGAAATTTTTTAAAAAAAGTTTTTACTAACAAAAATTGAAATCAAAGTGGCTTCCTTTTAATTAAACAGTATATTAAATAAGACAGGAATCTTCCTTGGGATTTGATTTCATTGTGGGTTTGTTGCAATTGAATTATGTCTTGAAGAATCACTTTTCAAAACGGAAGAATCTTAGACATTTAAGAGATGTGTTGTATAATGGGATATGAGTTACTGGTGTCCAGAGGTGGTAGTTATTAAGGAAGTAACAGAAGGTTAGTGGAGTTATAGTTTCTCCAATTTAATGAACAGAGGTTGAGATTTTAATCTAATTTTAAGCAATAGCATATTTACAGAGAGGAGTATGGCTGGCAGGTCAGACTCCAAGGCATAAACGTTTTTCATGTTTGATTTTTGTATAGTGTTATTTTTACTTTGGGATAGGTGGAAATATATTTTTGGTAGTCTTTTTCCTGAAAATTTCAAAAGGCTTATAAATCTGTACAACAAGTAGTGCGGTTTATATAAGATTACTATGATTTGGATTTATAAGACCTTTCTGTTCTTGTCCCATTTCCACTAATAATAACCTGGATAAGTTTTGAACTAATTCTTTAAACTTCTGGGTCTGTTCTCTCATCTGTACAATCAGGGGGTTGAAGTTTGTGATCTGTCAGATAAAGGATTCTGGGGTTCTCAGATGGTTGCTTATACCATAGGACTCTACCTATTAATGTATGCCATACATACATCCCTTTCCCTCCTTCATTTGCTGTAGAAGCTCAGGAAAAACCCAAGTTTAAAATTTTTTTTCGATTTTTTTTTTTTTAAAGAGAGAGAGAGAGAGGAAGGGGAGGCAGAGAGAGAAAGAAACAAACAAACATTGATCCATTGCCTCCCATACACACCAGACTGGTGATCCAGCCTACAACCCAGGCTATCTGCCCTGACTGGGAATTGAACTCGACACCTTTTGGTGTATGGGATGACGCTCCAGCCAACCTAACCACACTGACCAGGGCTAACCCAAGTATTTTGCTGAGAGATGGTGTTAGGAGACAAGAATAATAGTGGAGAGGCTGACATTCCATAGGAGACTAGCTTGGGTGGGAGAGGAGGGAGAACATGGTCCTTAATAGTGGGAGAGAGTGCAGGGCCTAATTGCCTTGTTTCATTTTGCTTAGGGTTCAGGCCAGATGAGAAATGAATCAGTATCAACATAAGGCAAGTGAGAAAAGGTTATTATTACAGTAGAGAGGCTTTTTGGAGAGAGGCTCTGCTAGGCTCAGGCTAGGGGGGAAAGGTGGTTCTTTCAGGGGGAAAAAGGGAGAATCCTGTTTACCTTTGTTGGAAGGATGCATGGTAGTTCATATTTCAGGGCTTCTGATTTGAATGAAAATACGAAATTTTATTGGTAATTATCTTGGTTTCTGAACACCACCAGGAGAAATAGAAGCTACTCATAGTCTGTTGCTTTCTCACATTTGCTATAAAATAGCAAGAAAACAAGGGGTAGGGTTGGGAGGAGAATTGTATCCTATGTTTTTTATAGTGGGTTTTAGGACTGCAACAGACACCTGTTAATCGCAGTTACCCAGGGTCATTTGCCTGTTCTGGCTGGCTAGATAATGTCACCTTCCCCACCAGTCCTTATATGTATATCCCTTTAGAACAGTGGTTCTCAACCTTCCTAATGCCGCGACCCTTTAATACAGTTGCTCATGTTGTGGTGACCCCCAATTTCATTGTTACAAATTGAACATAATTAAAGCATAGTGATTCATCACAAAAACAATATGTAATTATATATGTGTTTTCCGATGGTCTTAGGCAACCCCTGCGAAAGGGTCGTTCGACCCCCAAAGGGGTCACGACCCACAGGTTGAGAACCGCTGCTTTAGAACTTTGTGCTTGGTCAAGGTTTTGAGAGTAGCTATACTTCCCTTCTACAGCCTTTATACGTGCTCTCAGGATCCACTTTTAGAAGAAATGCAGGATGGTTGAACTTCCTTTGCCTCTGTCCTAGTTTCTTTTCCAAAATGATACTAAATTTTGTGTTTTAGATTTCTTAAAAATTTGTCTTTCTGATTAATAGATCAAAAATAAATCTTGAACTAAAATGTTTTAATAATTTATGAGGAAAAAGTATTGCTGAGTGATTAGTCAGGCATATAGAAATACCACTTTAGTGTTCTGTGATTTTTACATAGTGTTTCAGTTTATTTTCTGGTTTCAATAGAACAAGTTGAAATCATCGCAGAAGGATAAAGTTCGTCAGTTTATGATCTTCACACAATCTAGTGAAAAAACAGCAGTAAGTTGCCTGTCTCAAAATGACTGGAAGTTAGATGTTGCAACAGACAATTTTTTCCAAAATCCTGAACTTTATATACGAGAGAGTGTAAAAGGATCATTGGACAGGAAGAAGTTAGAACAACTATACAATAGATACAAAGGTGAGTGTTTACTTGTAACTTTAAATATTTTGAACCAGGTGTTCCAAAGTTACATGCTGCTTGTGAGAAATAATATATAGAACATATTTATAGGTATTTATATATATGTATAATACATAGAACATATGATATAGGTGGATATCTTAACAGAACTCTGTAGATCTTAGAATTACTTCAAAGAGATCTAAGATAAATTATTTTTCTCTTTTCACTAAAATTTTTTCTTAGCCTCTTTATTTCCTCCCCCATGATAGAGAGGAAATAGAGAAGAGGGGCTGGGGGGTATACTTCCCTTCTACAGCCTTTGAGAAGGGGGGCTGGGGGCCTTCCTTCCCCCCGCCCATTTCATAAAACTCAGCTGAACTGATTTTAAGAAAACCTGCATGATAATTTTAATAACCTTTAAAGAACTTATAAGTAATATACTTTTTAAAATATTTAAACAATACAAAATAGATGATTGAAGAAAAAGTTAATAGTTTCTCCATTTTTTTCTTATTTAGTCTCTTGAGGGAACCAGTATTTAATTCTGGTGTGGATCCTTCCATGTACTTTTTGTTTATGCAGAAATATGTATACACAGTTTAAAATTTTTTTCAAAAATGGGATATTTTATGCATAATTCATTCTCCCAAATCAGAAAAGTCACTTTTTTTTTTTTTATTGTTAGAGATGTTAGCAAAGCACACTTGGCAGCAGCGTATGAGTGCCACTTTCTCCTTGTATTTGTCATTATTTAAAAGTTTTTCTGTCTGATAAGTAAATATTGATAGTTGGTATTTTTCTTTAATTTGAACAACAGATATTTATATTGTTGAGATTAGGATTTAATTGCTGAGTTTATGGTTTTTCTGATACTCTCAAGACGTAATTGCTGTGGTAGAGTGAACTTAGTTTTAAGGAAAAAAAGATTTTTTGTATAGAATACTGTTAATTTAGAATGCTTACTTAAAATATGGATAGGTTCAGTAAAAATCCTTTATCTCTGTATAGACTGTCTGATTTTCTGAATGTGTATGAGTATGGGACATTTTTCATATGAATAAATGAGACTTAAAAATCATGTGTCCATCTGTATATAAAAGTGGGTGGGGCAAAAGTAGATATGCAGTTGTTTGTATGGAAAAAAACAATAATAACACAAGAATGAACTTTGTGTTTTGTGTACTCACAACTATAAACCTACTTTTGCCCCACCCTGTGTATTCTTCTGTTCATCTTTCTATTAGAGTTTATGTTAGTATGTAGCATGAAGTGTGAATCCATCTTTTCACACTTTTATTAAATTTATTGGGGTGACATTGGTTACTAGGGTCATATAGGTTTCAAGTATACATTTCTATGATACATGATCTGTATGTTGCATTGTGTGCTCACTACCCAAAGTCAAACCATCTTCTGTCACCATATATTAGGCTCCCTCCACCCCCCACCACCTCCTGTTCATATTAAGAGTCCTATTTTGAGGGCACATTGGCTTTGAATATTACAGGGGGGAAATATTTAGTAATATTGCTTCGTCTTTGATCTATGTGATTATATTTTAATGGAGCATACAGCATTACCTTTTTAGTTTTAGGAATAGTATAATAAAGTATGGCATTAATTTATTATTGCATTGTTATTTGTGAAGATCCTCAAGATGAAAATAAAATTGGAATAGATGGTATACAACAGTTCTGTGATGACCTGGCCCTCGATCCAGCCAGCATTAGTGTGTTGATCATTGCGTGGAAGTTCAGAGCAGCAACACAGTGCGAGTTCTCCAAGCAAGAGTTCATGGACGGCATGACAGAGTTAGTGTGAGTACATAATTATCAAAGGAAATTAAGGTTCATTACTATGAGAATTACTATGGAAATGAATTATGGTATGAGTTTTTTAATGTAAACATAAATTTGTCAGCCCACAAACATTGTTATAACAGAAATGGGCTAATATGCTAATTCCTTCCCATGTTTTCCAGTTTTCTGGGTTTGTCAAGTTATCTGTACAGTTAGTACAGCCTATTCCATTTGCATTGTACTTATATTAAAATAAATTATTTTAATTACTAATAAAATTACTAATATTTAACATGATATTGAAATGAGCAAGTTTTAAGGTATTTCATAATGTGAGGCTGCAAATTCTGAATTTATGAACAGCTCTTAGAATTTAAAATTTTAGAAGTTACTAATCACTTTTTGTTCAGTTTATCTTGATATCTGATTAGCTTAAATGACTTGGGATAAATAAATTGAAAAGTCATGGGTAGAGGTTTTACTTATGGCCTCTAGTTGTCTGTATTTAATGAGGCTGCAAAAATACTCAGTCTATGGATAGGTAACAGGCTGTCCTTTGTTTTTAGCGGATGACTATTAAATAATAATAGCTAACATTTGTTGAACATTTTTTTATTTCAGGAACTGTGCTAAGTAAGTACTTCACCTACCTCTTCACAATAACTGTGTATGAGAAGTATTTATATCCCCATTTTAGAGATGAGGAAACTGAGGTACAGAGAACTAGAGTTAGGTAGTATTAGAGTCAGGATTTGAACCCAGGCATTCTGACCTTGAGCCTGAGGTGCACTGTAATCAATCAGGGTCCAGACAAGACACAAAAATATATCAGTACTTTGAATAGGTTAAATTTAAAATATTGTGTTATGTAAAAGGAGCAAAAGAAAGCTTTGAGGTATAACAGAGGTTGCAGTTGTAAGAAACTGCCACCACCCTTGGAACTGAGGGAAATGAATAAGCAAGGAACCTAGACACTTAAGAGATCCCCACAGGGATCTCAGAGGAGAGGGCATGGCTGCCGCAGAACACAAAGCCTGTGATGCCTGCCTTGTCTGCCACTCTGATGAAGAAAAAAACTGGCTAGAGGCCACTTGCTGTGGGGCCATGTGAGCTGCCACCATTGGTAAACACTGCTGGGACCTTCCAGCACACTGAAACCCTTGCTCTCTGCAGAAAACAGACTGGGATAAGAAAAGTTCCTTTCCTCTTTCAGCCTTTCATTGCCCTCTGTTGGTAGAACCTAACAGTGAGCCAACTGGCAAGAAAAAGAAAATCTCACAATTTATAGTCCACTACAGATAGTCACAATTTAGGGCAAAGAAGAGTGGGTTTAAAGTTGAGAGGTAATAAATTAATAACTGGCCTAGACACTGTGTTCCACAGCCAAAGCTAGCCCCATCCTGAACTTGCAATTTTCTATGCTAAGACAGATGTTATTAAAACGCACTTTTTTTCTTTTGAAACTGAATTTATGTACAATATGATGAACTTCCAAATCAAAATTTTAATTTACAAATAATGATCTGGGAGGCATTATAAAGAACATAGAAGGAAAATAAAAGCAAAAAGATTAGAAGAAACAGTGGAGTGATTGCTTTTGTAGACTCTATAAGAAATAGAATATTTCTACCTTAAGGCTGTTATATGGAAAATAAGACTAGTACTTGGACCCTTTCAACTCCTTAGAAGTTGAATGCTTTGCAAAAAATAGAAAGAGCTTACTGTGGATTCTAACTTCAGTTGGAAATGGTAGGGCGCTCAGCAGATACTTATACTTTATGTATAAGAAAAAGTAACTTTTCAAGAAAAGTGCATTCTCACCGAAGTAAGAAATTATGCTTTCAGTTAGTTTGGAAGCCTGACATGTGATTTGTTACCATCAAAGGAGTATCTACTACAGTTTAAACTGGTGATTGTTGTTGATTAGTATACATTCTCATCTGTTCACAACAGCTGACTTCTACATTTCAGGTGTGTTAATAGTCCAGTGAGTTATGTAATTAAAAGTAATGACCCATTTCTTTTAAAAATAGTAATTATTTCTAACATTTAATCACTCCAGACCTTTTCTTCCTCTAACTAAACCCATACTTATTTATATAATGTAAAAAGAATGACAGCTGTCTGATTTTTAAAAAGTTCTATGAAATAAAGATAAGCTATCATAGGAATAAGTTAAGTCCTTAATTTATAGTGAAAAAGTTTTATCTTTTATAAACTTAATTTTACAATGTAGATGTGACAGCATAGAAAAACTAAAGGCCCAGATACCCAAGATGGAACAAGAATTGAAAGAACCAGGACGATTTAAGGATTTTTACCAGTTTACTTTTAATTTTGCAAAGAATCCAGGACAAAAAGGATTAGGTAAGAATTTTTAAAAATTATATTTGGGGTTTCAAATACATTCAAATACATTGACAGTGTCACTTTTGTTTTGTAATAGAAAGTTATGTGTTTTGAGCAAAAAATATGAAAATACCAGTTCCTGAAAAGCAATGAGAAACAGTGAACTTCTGGTTACTCGAAAAATACTGAGCACATTCAGAAATAGGGTTGGTTGCCCTGGATATCACATGTGAACCACTGATTTTTTTTTTTTAAAGAACTGTACAGAAAATAAATACTTGTTAAAATTCCCCTGACATATGTATGTCCATTTGTTTATTTCCCAGAAGATATTATAGGGTCTTAGGATCATAAGTTATTTCACTATGGATCTGTAGAATAGCTTTATAGGATTTGTAAATCATAAAATGATTTATTTGGAAACCATAAGAAAGAATTTTAAAAAAGATGATTATCATTCATAATCTTAACCTGAAATAACTACTGTTAACAATTTAGATTAATCTATACTGTATGTAATATCCATACATTTGGCGATGGCAGAGAGAATATGGAACTAAAAGCTACAGTATAATTTACGTTTACCCAGAAAGATTGGACAGTAGCAGATAATATAAAATAACATGTGTGAGGGTTTTAGATAAAAGTGGAAATGAGTAAAAGCTGGAATGGTTGGAGCATGCTTCCTGGGAAGATGGGATGTGACTAAAGGGTTTGCTTTGGCTGGGCAAGGGAAGATAGAAGGTGTTCCAGTGAGAGGGTAGTTATAAATGAGGGTCTGAAACTTGAGAAATAAACTTGACTTTGTGGAAGCCAGAAAATGTTGACTTGATTTTAGTGGTTGTTTGGCAATTAAATTGATGAAACACATTAAGGCTCAGTAACCACAGGCTTCTTTTAAAAACAGGACAGAAAGGTTTAAATTAGAATTTGTGGGCAATGGGGAGGCACTGAAGATTTTGATGATGGCAGTAACTTGCATTGAACATGAGCTTTCAGTATGCCTGGCAATGTGCTAAGGACTTTACATACACTGCCACATTTAATGTTTAACAACTTCATGAAGTTATTATTTCATTCAGTAATTCACTACTTGCACTGTCCCAGGTACATAATAAAAGAGCACTAGCCATTTTGTATCCTTACTTTGCAGATAGGATACTGAGACACAGGTAGGTTAAATAAGTTACCCATTGATTGAAGTGAGTTTGTTTTTTTTATTTTGAATATACAGTAGTTGGAGAGGCTATTAGGAGTCTTTTGTACTAATTCTTCTTTATATTTTACATTGGAGGGGGGGAAAGCATTGAGAAAAAGATATGTGGATAGGGATTAGACCGAGCAAATGATTGAACATTAGTGAGGAAGGGGTGAATGTAGAACGTGTGTATGGAAGAATTGGCCTGAAGAGTGACCAGCCTGAAGCTGGTTTATAACATATCTGTGAAGCAAAATTCTAAACAGCGAAGCCTCATCTCCAACTGATTCTTCAGTCTAGGTTGGATATTCTTACAGAAAAATTTCTCATTTTGCAGATAAAATAAGCTAGTATACTATACCTAGGGTTGGTTTCTCGATCTTATATCTGTGGCCACCAGTTAACTGGGCTATTTTTTCTAGTCTTCTTTTGCTTTCCACACGTAAAAACCAATTAAAGTGTTTAATTTATATGTATATACTAAGATAATTATTTTTGTTATGTTTAGAAATATAACACATTATTTTGGTAAGATTAAACAAAATGTGAATATCAATGATGATTTAAAGGGGATGAATCTATTTCTTACTTATATCCCCTAGCCCTTACTGGAGTACAAGATAAATAATATTTTTGGGTGAATATGTAGTTTTGATATTGAATCTTAGTTTTTATTATATGATGAAAATAAAGCAAAACAACTTTTTTAGCTATTGGATATGTTAATATGATGGTAAATTGGATTTTTAGATTACAGACAAAATTGAGAAAAAGATTATGCAGAAGAATTAAGTTTAAAAATTATGTTTATTCTTTTATCTAGTAGGTATTGAGCTTAAGAAAAATGGTATAGTGTTTTTTGTTTTGCAAGATGAAAAGAGTGCTGAAGATTAGTTATACAACAGTGTGAATGTACCTAACACTACTGAATTGCACACTTAAAAATGTTTAAGATGATACATTTCATGTTATGTATGTTTAACCACAATTTTCAAATTTGTTTTTAAGCTCCTCCAAGCCATAGAATGTACAACAGAGTGAGCCCTAATGTAAAATACGGTATTTAGCTAATAATATATCTATATTGGCTTATCAATTACAAGATGTTAAAAATACTGGAAATGAGGGGAAGGGAGAGAGAGGTTTTGGGGAACTCTCTGTACTTTTCCCTCAATTTTTCCCATAAACTTGAAATTAAAACTAAAATTGTCCTAATTAAAAAAAGAAAACTGTAATAAAAGTAAGTCATAGTTTCTCTTTTTGTTTTGCAATGGTGTTGGATGTCAGGAAATGTAATGACTTGTTTAGTTGAAGAACTTGATTAAAAAGAAAACAGTTTTCTTGACAGCCTTTCCAAGGGTTTACAGGGCTCATATATTGAAGTGTATTTGGCAGAGAGTAATTAGAAAATCATAGGAGAGGAAGTGAGGTCCAAAACAAATTGGCAAAGACTAACAGTGACAGCACTGTGGTTTATTCATATACTAGAGGCCCGGTACACCAAATTCATGAACTGGGGGTGTCCCTCAGCCCAGCCTGGGCCCTCTCACAGTCCGGGACTCCTCGCTCTTTACCGCCTGCCTGCTTGCCACTCCTTACCACTCGGCTCGCTGCTCCTTAGCGCTGCTGCAGAGGCAGGAGAGGCTCCTGCCACTGCTCTGCACTTGCCAGCTGTGAGCCCTGTGGGAGCACACTGACCACCAGGGGGCAGCTCCTGCATTGAGCATCTGCCCCCTGGTGGTCAGTGCACATCATAGCGACTGGTTGTTCTGCTGTAACAGTCACTTAGGCTTTTATTATATAGCAGGGGTCCTCAAACTACAGCCCGTGGGCCACATGCAAATACAAATATTGTATTTGTTCCTGTTTTGTTTTTTTACTTCAAAATAAGATATGTCCAGTGTGCATAGGAATTTGTTCATAGTTTTTTTTTAAACTATAGTCCGGCCCTCCAACGGTCTGAGGGACAGTGAACTGGCCCCCTGTTTAAAAAGTTTGAGGACCCCTGTTATATAGACTAGATCAGCCGTGGGCAAACTACGGCCCGCGGGCCAGATCCAGCCTGTTTGAAATGAATAAAACTAAAAAAAAAAAGACCGTACCCTTTTATGTAATGATGTTTACTTTGAATTTATATTAGTTCACACAAACACTCCATCCATGCTTTTGTTCTGGCCCTCCGGTCCAGTTTAAGAACCCATTGTGGCCCTCGAGTCAAAAAGTTTGCCCACCCCTGGACTAGAGGCCCAGTGCACGAATTCATGCATGGGTGGGGTTTGACCAGCCCGCCCCAATTGGGGCTGATCGGGCCAGGCTGGCTGGGGCGAGGAGCCGCGGGCAGTTGGCGGGCCAGCCCTGCCCATGATTGGGGTAGGGGGGACTGATTGGGGGCAGGGTCACCCGGGGGGAGGGGCTGCAGGTGGTTGGCTGTCCCCACCCCCTGGTTGAACTCCTAGTCGAGGGGACAATTTGTATATTAGCCTTTTATTATATAGGATTATTATATAGGATAGCTGTGCTAGTGATAGAGCTGGTGTTTCCATTTTTTGTCATTGTCTATAACCTTATTTCTTTTTACAGTAGGATGGGGTGCTTCCTTTATCACCATCTGCTTCAGTCACCTACAATTTCTGATAGTCTTCTGAATCTTAAATTTTTGAAAGGGACTTCATAAGTTCTCTATTAGATCTAAAGTAGCATCCGTACCTGATGTTCATTTAGCTTTTACTTTTGAACATACGGAAAGTGGGCATTTTGTTTTAGGAAGTGGTCCATTCTCTTCACTGGATACGCTTATCACACAGTTCTTCCTTACAAGCTAACATCTTTGTCTTTATAGCTTCCATCATTGCTCTTATTTGTCCTCTACACACAGAGGAAGTCTAACCTTAAAAGGTCACTATCACCCTTCTCCTTTGTTCCAGGTCAGTATCCCAATTATTTTAACTATTCATTTGAGGAGACCTTTATTATTCCTGTTACTGTCCCTTGTAGTCTTTCAGTTTCTTTCAGAATAGAGCTCTTGAAGCTGAACATAATACTTCAGACCGAGGCTGTTTAATGTAGAACACCGTGAGTCTGTTATTTCTTGTGGGACTGATTGTTTATTTGGTCAAAAATGACATTTGTTCTTTAGCGACCCTGTCATTTTGAGGACCATCCTGAACTTTAGACTAAAGTCTGTAGGTTATTTTCTTGTAAACTGTGGTTTTCAGGTAGAATCCTACACCTGTTAAATGGTTAAAAAGTTTTTAACATTGTTAAACATTTACTTTAATATTTAGGAATAATTTTATTGATTGTTTTTGAAGTGTATTTTCATCTATAAAATCCTCTTTGGCTCTTGTAACAACCCTTTCTGCTAAGTAAAAAGAAACCTGTTATCCTCTTTTCATGATGAGGAAAATCACGTTAGAGAGGCTGACTTATTAAAAGCCCATAACTTTAGAGTTATGTGAGAACTGCGATTCAACCTCAGATCTGACTGCAATTTTTGCATTTTTAAAATTACACTGTGTTATGCTAACTGTAGATATTTCTAAGTAAATGAAAACATTTTGAATAGGATTTTTAATCACTATTCTGTCCTCCCTAGTGAGTTGGCAACATTTTGTTTCCTGTAGGGACAGTGTTTGGATCCAATCTTAATTCATTTTCATGTTCATCTGGCACTCAGTTGATCATCTTTTATGAAATCCCACATTGGCCTTTTGATTCTACTTGAAAGAATGACACAGGGATTACCTCTGTTTGCGTTTTTTTAAAAAAATATATTTTATTGATTTTTTACAGAGAGGAAGGGAGAGGGATAGAGAGTTAG